CTAAAAACTTTCTGCACAGCAAAGGAAACAATCAACAGAGTGAAAAGACAACCTACAGAGTGGGAGAAAATTTTTGCTAACTATGCATCTGGCAAGGGACTAATATCCAGAATATACATAGAACTCAAGCAATTACACAGTAAAAAAATAAATGACCCAGTTAAAAAATGGGCAAAGGAGCTGAATAGACATTTTTCAAAGGAAGACATACAAATGGCCAACAGATACATGAAAAAATGCTCAACATTACTAGTCATTAGGGAAATGCCAATTAAAACCACATTGAGATACTACTGCACTCCAGTTAGACTGGCCTATGATCAAAAAGACGGTGAGTAACAAATGCTGGCGAGGGTGTGGAGAGAAGGGAACACTCCTACACTGTTGGTGGGAATGTAAATTAGTACAACCACTTTGGAAAACAATTTGGAGGTTTCTTAAACAACTACACATAGATCTTCCATATGATCCAACAATCCCTCTTCTGGGTATATATCCGGAGGAATGGAAATCATCATGTCAAAGAGATACCTGCACTCTCATGTTTATTGCAGCTCTGTTTACAACAGCCAAGATATGGAATCAACCTAAATGTTCATTAATAGATGACTGGATAAGGAATCTGTGTATATATACACTATGGAATACTACTCTGACATAAAAAAGAATGAAATACTCCCATTTGCAACAATATGGATGAAACTGGAGAAATATGTTGAATGAAACAAGCAAAGCACAGAGGGATAAATGCCACATGTGCTTACTCATATGTGGGAGCTAAGAGAGAAAGAAGGCAGGAAAGAGAGTCCACAGTAGTGCCATGATCCAACAGAGAGAGGGAACATTCCTAGGGCTACAAATTGGAGTTGAGGGGAGAGGGGGAAGGGGAGGGAGGTTGGGGGATAATTGGAAGGGGACAAAGGGTACAAAAGTAATTTCTGGTAATGGGTATGTCCCCAGTATGAATCTGGACCCCACATCATGGGCAGGAGGGGGGAACAATCAGCTTTGTATCTCATGAATATTCATAATAAATAAAAAATAAATAACAACGTAACTCTCTCACATCTGATCTGTAAAAATTGGTAAGCATAGTAGCCAATATTAGCTAAAAACTATAGTCCTGCAGAACTGAAAAGAATCATTAAGAGATCATTTATGTCAGCAGTTTTAACTCATTTTTCCTTTTAAAGTAGAACTCTTTTTTCCCCAGCAAACTTTAGATACAACCACAATAAAAATAAAGCAGATATTTGTGGAGCTTCTCTGCTGTGAAACGTGGGAAGAGTTGGAGTGAGAAGACCAGTGTTCTGCTGCCTGGGCTTCCCTTCAATGCCTCTGGTTAGTCTTCTGTACAGTCCACCTTCCACAGACCAAGTTGAAAATTGAAAATTACTGAACTAGCATGACTTTTTATTGTCAATGTGGAAATGTTTTGCCCAAGAATACATGACTCATCAGCATCTAAACTGAGAACACAACATAATTCTCAGCATTCTGAGTCTCTATCCTTTCCCAGTAAACTATACTGCCCAGTCTATTAAAAGTATATATGAAAATATGACTAATTACAATAAAACACAATTTGTGAGGTAGATTTCAAATACAATTACATTTTTCAACAGATAACTCTAGCATCATTTGGATAAATTTCACTTGAACTTTAGCCATACCAGTGCTTCCAACTCAAGATGAAGACTCTTCTTTTTAGAGTTTAACCTGATAATTTCTTCTTGTTCTCTATTCTTTTGATTGAGAAGCTCCTGTCGACGAATTTTCTCCCATTCTAAACGACGCTGTCGTTCAAGTTCCTGTTTTGCTGCCTGAAAATAAAAAAGTCAATTTTTAAATTAAAAACTCTGTATCATTCAAAAACTGATGGAATGACAAAGATAAATGTGAGGTAGCATTTAGCACTTAGTAGGCTATAGTGCCTAAGGGTAACTGGGCAAATCTAGTTTTATCAATGGGCCTAAACTAAGTGTTCCACAAAAGTGGCTTCAGCCATCAGACTTTTTGGTTGCTTCACAGGATCACCTTGCGTTATAGTCACTTTTCTCTTAATAAGCAAAAGGATGACTTCATAAATATAAATTTTTTTTTCCCTTTTTTGTCTTTTTTACTGACCGGCAACGGGATCGCAACCCTCGGTGTTGCGCCCGCACCGCACTCAGCCAGTGACCAGGAACCGGTCTCCACATGGGATCCGAACCCTCGGCGGGAGCGCTGCCGCACTCCCAAGTGGCGCACTCTCCAGTGCGCCACCGGGCCAGCCCCATAAATATAAATGTTAATAGGAATAATTACACCTCTATTCTGGTATCAGGAAAAAAAATTCTATTTACATTATTTCAGTGCACTGTATCTTTCTGCATACTTCATCCTTGGCCCCTTAAAACACAGCCAGTTCTCCTAGGGACCCCATACAACACTATCCCAAGGACCTGCACAAGGCCATCCTCTTAGTTCCTCTCTATACCTTCAATTTCTCACTTTCACCTTTCTGCCTCTTCAATTCCTTGGACCCTAGATCCTAAACTTGCTTTTGTTTAATGACCTGCTCAAACTGACTCCTTCTGCAGGCTGACTAATCTCAGCTATTCGCTCAATTTAGCTTTGCAGTTAATCCTCCTTTGATTGAGAGATCTCCTGCAGAGATGCTTTCTCTACCACTCAACCAGCTCTGAAAATCCCTTACATGCAAGAACCCTCTTTCCTTCCTCAAGGGAAGGAAGATTCAGATTTGTATAGAATAAGTAAGAATAAAATGATGCAGAGGAAAAGACAACAAAAATTCAAAAATAAGCTTTTTTTAATTAAATGAAATGTGGTCACTTTTTTTTTTGATGGCTGGCTGGTAGGGGGATTTTAATCCTTGACAGTAGTGTTACAAGACTTCACTCTAACCAACTGAGCTAACCAGCCAGTCCTACTTATTAAGTGTAATAGTTTTCTGAGAAATAAAATAACTTAGAAATAACCTCTCGTCTTTCTAGGTCTTTTCTCCTTTCTTCCTCCCGTTGTCTTTCCAATTCTCTCTGTTTCTCCAAGCGTTTTTCTAATTCAAGTTGCTTCTTCCATTCTTGTTCTTGTAATTCTCTTTGTTTTCGTTCCCACTCTTCCTTCTCTTTCTGGGCTTTACGTTCTGCCTCCCTCTGTTGCTGCTCCATCAGGGCTTGGCGTCGCTTCTCTAGTTCCATGTTCCCTCGTTCATAGTTGGCTTTCCGCTTGTCCTCAAAAGTAACTAAATAAAGTATACCATAAGCATTCTCACACATTAAGAGCCCACAGAATCTGTAATCTAGTTTCAACAGATGTATGCCTTGTGATCACTTCAGTACTTTTACTCTTAGATACTTCTAAGGGTAATTTTAACTCAAATGTAAATAGGAAAATATTTACTTTCTTCTAAAAATATGCATTTTTAGAAAAATAAATTTCTAAGTTTGAATCCACCTAAGAGAGAAATAATTTTACTATCCCACCCAATAAAAATACTTTTTCAACTTTTTTCTCAGTTTTCTTCAAGGACAACCAAAGCTGTGTGGTTGTTATACACTTGTTTTATTTTATGTATGTCACTGACTTTTCAATATTTTAAAACAACTACATATGCGCTTTTTCAACAATTATTTAAACTTTTTTTCAAAGCTAAAAATCTCATCGCAAAGCTTGCTCTAATGATTCTGTCTAAACTAGGAGAACCACTTTAACTTACATGCCTACATTCTTGCCAAATACAGACACTGTCTCTTCTTCCTGCATGCTCTTAATTTTATGGATGTCAAAATCCATCCCATCCATCAAATAGTTTTCTCATATAGCATATACAATATTAAAAATGTAAAAATTCTTTACACTCATTTATATTTAAAGGTAAAATTTAAAAGAACTCACTGTAAATATACAACTTAGACACTCAATGCTACCTGGTAATTTCTTCTGAGGTTCCTCTTCTTGCATTTTCTGATACGAAGGCAGAGTTCCATTAATGGAATCAATTTGCTTTCCTCCTCTAAAACAGGCAAACAACAAACAAATTTAGCATCATGCGGTATAGGAATTTTCAGACTAGACTAAATAAACTACTAATGATTAAAGCAATTTAATATTTAGTAAATAATATTAAAGATATTTAAAACATGATATGGTCTATAGCTACAATGTACAGCAGTATATGGATATTCAAGCCAGAGAGAAATGGATTCAAATCATGGGCATTCTTGGGTAAGTTTTTTTAATCTCTTTAGTCATCGGTTTCCTTATCTATAACATGGTGAAAGCATACCTATTTCTAATACAGACTCCTTTTCAGTGTAACTTATTGAATACTAAAATCAACTGGCAGGGCAAATATATACCTCTCCTCTAAGCACAGCCCTCAGTAAACCCCAAAATAAAATCACATTTGCCAAGTGATCAAAACCATAGTGTTTTGCCACCAGAAGGCACTCACCTGAAAGATGGAGGGACAAGTTCAGGAGGTAAAGTCAGTGGTAAGGGCTGTCCAGCTTTGGCCATGTCAGTGAGGTGCATCGCAAGGATAAACTCTTCAGCTTTTAGCTGTCCATCACCATCAATGTCAGCCAGCGTCCTAAAGAAAATGTGAAAATTCACAACCTAGAAAGGAAGTCTACTTGAAATAATATATTATCTGAAGAGTTATTTTTTAAAAGAAGAGCAATGGTAAAACTGCTAAGTTAACACACTGTAGTGAAATGTAAACACACACAGAAAAGTGAGTTAATTTTTATCCTAAGTTTTCATAGCACAAAAGAGGGAAGCAAATTTGAAAGAGAAAGGGAAATATCCCTTCTGAGAAGGTGGCTTCTCTTATTTCAAGGTTAATTCCCCTATCAAAGCACATTTATCTATATATTAAAAATGAGACATCCTCTGATTCTCCATAGAAGGCATTATTATAAAGGAAAACAATAGTTTTACTTATAAAAGAATTAAAAGCCAAATTCTCAAGAGCATTTTCACAATTACTTTTGCTTTCAAGGTTAACATTAACTTTCAAATGGCTGCTTTTATGGAGCATCCTTTTTTTTTTTTTTTTTTAATCTTTATGGAGCATCTTTGAGTTATAAACTTTTACAGAAACAAACTCTTTCCTATAGTAGAAGATATGTAATTAAAAACCATAATTAATGGACAAACTCACCAAATAGTAGCTAGCTGAGTTTGAGAAAGATTTGACTGAAGAAGGGCATTTCTAGCTTGAAAACCTGATTGAGTGGGAAAACCATAAAGAAAAATTTCTTTAGCCTCTTTAAAGCCTTACAAACCTAAATAACTATTCCTATAAAATAACTGCTATGAAATTGTTGCCACACTGGGAACTCTTAATATCAAAATGTTTTTGTCATGTGCCAAGTACTGGGCATTCAGCAGTAATCAAATACAGTCCCTGTCTCAAGGAGTTTAAAATCTAGACTTAGGGGCCGGCCCGGTGGCACACTGCGCTAGTGCGCCGCTTGGGAAGCATGGCGGCGCTCCCGCCGAGGGTTCGGATCCCACATACAGACCGGTTCCCGCTCACTGGCTGAGCGAGGTGCGGGGGCAACCCCGAGGGTTGCGATCCCGTTGCCGGGCCCAGTCCGGTACGGGGGCGTAAATGAGGGTTGCGATCCGTTGCCGGACACGGAAAAAGACAAAAAAAAAAAACAAAAAAAACCTAGACTTAGTAAAACCAAGTGCTCCCCTGTGCCCTTTCCACAAGATAATAGTACACTCAAGTGGCTGACATGACGGAACAAGCCACCAGACACAGAGAGTATTAAGGGCCAAGCTCTCGGACCTTCTCCCAATACAATTTGAAACACAGCTTCCTTAACACATTTTCAGATTTTTCTCTTCTCTCTCTGATTGTTACTTTGTCTCTACTCCTCCTCTTCTAAATAATCTTTAAATGCTGTCATTTCCCCAAGGATCTGTCATGGGCACTCTTTCCTCTCTGTATTCACATCCATTTCTATGGCTTTAAACAGCACCTAGAGCCTGATGATCCCCAGAAGTATATCCCCAGCCCATATCTCTCCTCTAAGTTTACACTTCCATACCCAACCAAAAAACCTGCTTAGGTATTTCATAGGCATCTCAAACCAAATACATATAAAACTTCTTTCTCAATCCCTATCCACGTCCCTTGTCCTAATTTTCATCCCAAACCATCCTTCCTCAGTCTTCCCTTCTCTATGAATGGCATCAACATCCACCCAGTGGCTCAAGTCAGAAATCCAAAAGTCACCCTTGATCCCTCCCTCTCCAGTACACCCATATCCAACACCAAGTTCTACAATTCTATGTCACTGCATATCTGGGTCCTTTTCACTCTATAAGTATCAATTTATGTCACCTTGTCAGAAAGGTCTCCACTGTCCGCCCTATCATCCAGTGAGCTTCCTGTTTCCTTCATATCTCATATTATAATTTGTAATGTAACATTTATTTGCTTGTTTACCTGTTTACTGTCTGTTTCTCCTCTCAGGCTAATAAGATCTAAGAAGACAAAAACCTTGTCTGCTTTATTTACTAAGGCATGCCCAATGCCTAGAAAATAAATTCTTAATAAATACTTGATAAAGTAATTAATGAACTTGGAATCCAAAGTTCTCTGCTACTTAAGGTGCAATAGGGACTAACGTAATAGCATATGATAATAATATTAGCTAACATTTATTGAATGCTTACTATGTGTAGTAAACTGTTCAGCTTCTACAAAAACACATTTTTGTTACAAACTTCTTGATCTGTAATGTGGTATCAGGGTAACGGTCACACAGAAAGCTCAGGGAATATATTCCAAAACAGAAAATCCCTAGCTGCTTCAGAAGAACATTCACTCCTGGTAAGCTAGTCTGTGGCTTTCTGGACTATGGATGAAATCATGCTGCTTCTCTAGGGATGGTCTCTCCGTTTGTAAAGCAGGTGTTGTACCTTCCATTCCCAGAGGACAGAGCTGTAAGTACCAGAAGAGTAAGCCCATACACTGGGTTCACCCTGAGTCAAGGACCATTGAAAACAACTCTGCATACAAGAGATTATGTCTGCCAACTCTTCCTCAGCAACAGTTCCTACTAAAAAGCCTGCACAAACGCAGCTAAACCCATTGTTTTACAGAGCTATGAACACAAAAGACTTGATAATCAAAGCTACCATGTATTATATAATACACAATTGAATGTTCAGAACTTTTAAAACATCTTCATTCTATCTTTTTATTTAACCATTTAATAGAAATAAGGAATAACACTGGAAATAGCTCACAGCCTCATCCTACGAATTACTACTCATATTTCACATAGAAAGCGAGATTTGAGGAGGTCATTATGTTAAAAGAATTCTGTAAAGAGAAATGGAAGGCTGTTTCAAAACTGAGAAAAGGTTCAATAACTAATATTTCAGCAGTTGGACAAAAATGACTGGAAAAAGATCCCTTAGCATTAGGCCACAGAGTAATGAAGAGAAACAAGAGAAGGAACATAAATGGTTAAAAAGCATACTGGGTCAGGGCTTTATATGTGTGCAGGCAAAGTCTCAATAATACAAAGGGCCAGAGAGAGCTAGTAGAGTACTTCACTGAGGAAAGCTCACTTGATCATGTTCATCCTTGGTCTGCCAATACTTTGGACATCATATATCCTCTGCTAGGATGCCAGTCCCTCCATTCTCTACCCAGTAGTCTATTTATCCTCTAAGATCCAGCTCAAATGTCATCTTTTCTGTGAAAACTTCTCTCACATCCTCAGAGTTAGTCACTTTCTCATCTATATTAATTACAGCACTTTTAAACTACTAATAAAATACTATGATTATGTGAGCTATACTGTAGCTTCAGTAACCAGGTCTTCCTTCTCTCTGTATTCCAGTGCCTAAGAGAGTGCCCAGAAGATACGTGACTTTGGAAATATCTGAGTCAATAAATTAATCAGAATAAATCAAAGATTGTGTTTAGGGGAGAGAAGAGGATGAACAAAATAAGAAAGATCACCAAGTATGACATTAATTGAACAAAGCATAAACATGGAAGTCCAGGTCAGCCCTATCCTCATATACTTGGAGCTCATGCTTAGTTTCAGGACACCAGCGATAACTACTCTTTTAAAAGAAAACCCTATTCTTACCTACAGATACACAGCTTTACCCTTGTAGGTCCCAGAATATCAACATTCTCTAAAAACAACACAATCCACAAACTTCATACAATGTGGCATATTCAAATAAAGCAACATTAGGTATCATTTCCTCACAGCCGGTTCCTCATTCGCTGCCCTTCATACCCCAAAGCAAAATCACCTCTGTTTACACTGTTATGTTTATAGTACATATATAAAGTGTACCAATCTTAAGTGTGTTGCTTAATGAATTTAAGGCTTCTTTCATTCAACAAAATATCTGTGAAATTCATTCATATTGTTGCACGTATCAACAATTCATTTGTTTGTATTGCTGTAAAGTATTCTGTTATATAAATATACCACAATTTATTGATCCATTCTCCTGTTGATAGACATTTAGGCTCTGAATATTTTGTACATGTGTTTTTAATCCACTTCTGTTAAATTGAAAAAAAAAATTTTCTTTAATGCAAATGAAAGGTCCTAAGGAGTTAGTTCATTGTTTCAAAGAATGTGAATCATAACGCTACATTAATATCAAGTAGGTTTCAACACCATATTTCACAGAACTTAAGATTCCATCAATTATAAAACACGATTATTTTGTGTAACACTAAGAAGGAAAAAAATACTACCAGTAAAACTATGACACAGTGCTAAGATGATAACACACATCCCAATTTCAGAGACATTAATTTTTTTTTATTATTTATTAATTATTTTTTTTAAAGATGACCGATAAGGGGATCTTAACCCTTGACTTGGTGTTGTCAGCACCACGCTCTCCCAAGTGAG